GATACTTCGCTCTATTATGGTCGATTATGCACTAATTCCATTGTCTTCTTTTGTTTACCCCTTTCTATTTTTCACTATTTGTTAGTATCTGTTTCACTGTTCAAGTAAAATCACTCTAATGTTCAGTCGGAAATGTACCATTACAAATATGTTTACGTACAAGTGGAAATTTATATAATTTCGAGATTACGAAGCATTGCTCAATGATTGGACAAGAATGCTGTTTATAGCAACCCTATGGTGCTATGCATTTTCAACCTCGTATCTAAATGTGATTTTCTACTTTAGCAAACAATTAGTTTGCGTTTAAACATGACTGATCCTTGTGGTAGACTTATCGACTTGCTTACTAAGTATCCGAATGAGAAACGAACGTCACGCTTTTCCGAAAATCGTACTTTTGTGATGGCCAGACTCATAACAACATTATATCCATTTTAATCTTGACAAATGATTATTGTAACGCATTTATTGCTTCTCCTTCATTTCTTCTAATAAGATAGGGTAACCCCATCAGTCAGAAACAAAGCCGATGTGGTATTTATCATGGACTCGTCGGGAAGCATTGGAAAAGTTGATTACGACCTTGAAAAGCAGTTCGTCAAAGATCTCACGGACGTGTTCAGGGTGTCGCCGAACGAAACACGTGTTAGCACCATCATCTACAGTGACGCCCCCAAACTCGTGTTTGATTTTGACAAATACAGCAGCAAGGAAACCATCAAAGCTGCCATTGATAACTTGGAGTTTCTAAGAAAACGAACGCGGATCGACAAGGCGCTGGCAATGGCAGTGACGGTGTTTTCAAAATCTCGTCCATCAGTACCCAGAATCGCCTTTGTACTCACAGATGGTGCCCAAACCGAAGATTGGGATGCTAAACCACTGGATGTTGCGGTGAGCCCGTTGCATGATCTAGGCGTTCAAGTCTATGTCATTGGAATTGGCAGTCAAATCAAACGCGATGAGCTGTATTTGATGGCCAGAAGGCGACTTGATGTGTTTTTTGTAGATTCCTTTGAGAGACTTTTGCAGCAGACGTATCGTATTGTGAATCAGATCGATACATATGGTAGGTTTGAACTGCGGTTAGTTAGATTTGTAGGAGAAAGTTAAAATGAATTGGAAGCGAAAGCTACCAATACCTACACCGGCAATGTCGTATCAAAAGTTGGCAACGCATTTTCAAGCTGCTCGACCCCTATATAGTATTACCCTGCTAATAGAGATTTCTTTCCGGTAATGTTTTGTCTATGTACAAAGACATCAGCAGGCATTCGCGCATTTGGCTTATTTACGTCCCCGAGATACTTTGAAAAAGGTGGGGTGAAAAAAAAAAAGGCAAATAAAATACTCGATATGCGTATGTTGCGTCGCTAACAAGCTTTTAAGCTTTATTCCTAAAAAAATAAATGAAAAATCTAAAAAAATCAACCTTGTTTCAGGGTTCTCTCCTACCCGTCCCTATCTCCAAGGTAAAGACGGGTAGGAAAGAACCCTGGGAACGAGGTTGTAGCAAAATCTGATTTTGCATTGCAAAAAAAAACAAACAAACAAACAAGTTAATTGTTTGACTTATTCTTAATATGGCTTCTTATTATTTTAGACTTACTCCCGCCACTGGATATCGTAGCTGACATGCTCTTTCTACTCGATTCTTCTTCGGTGGTTCCACAATCCCAGTACCAAAGAGAGCTGGATTTTCTTAAAAAGATTGTGGAGTTATTTACAATATCTCCTCACTACGTTCGAGCTGGAATCATTCCTTTCGGAGATAGGGCGGAGCTCTCCATACCACTGGGACACCATTCGAATAACGAGGCTATCAACAGGTCTATTGATTCGCTTCCCTACATGGGAGGGACTAAACGAATGGACCGTGCATTAACCCTAGCCAATCTGACATTTTCTCAAGCTCGTTCAATGGTCCCAAAAATCCTTCTGATAATTACTAGTGGTGGCGACGAGGCAGTGCCTGGAGCCGATCTAAGTTCTCCTGTCCGCGCCCTCCGAGAGCAAGGTGTCACTATCTTCGTGATCGCTATTGGAGTGAGCTTAGATTATCTGAAATTGAATCAGATTGTTCCCAGGAAGAATTTGATTGTGGACAAATCTTACAAAGCACTGGAGCCATACCTTCCTTTTGCGGCAAGCTATATAAGAGTAAACTCAGGTAAGACGCAGATCCGCTTAAGTTAGTTTCTTAAAACGGAAGATTGTTGCATACCAGTGTACATAAATGAATTTATGCTCCTCAGTGTGTCTGGCGAGTTTTTTTTTTCAGTTCAGTTTCCGATCACGAGCTTTTAAGTAAAAAATACTTCCTGAATTATGAAAAGGTCACTTTACTGTCTAGGCTTTACTGACTTGTTCATTTTCTTCAGATTTTTCCACTCCCTTGGGTCAAAATGCCGCTGTTGTGTTCTTGATTGACTCCTCCGATGATGTGGACAAGAATGACTTTAAGAGACAGAGATACTTTGTGATTTCCTTGGCGAAAGCTTTCAAGATCGGCCAGAATGGAGCTCATGCCAGTGTGATAACCTATGGCAAATTTGCACGACCTAGCGTGCAGTTGAAAGACTCGGAAGATTTTGATAGTTTCGAAGATGCGGTGTTGAGGACCAGCATAATAGCTGGTAGGTTTGGCCTTTAACGAAATGTATTAGTCTCCACAAATTATAAACAAAGTAAAGGACGGAATGATTCTGGTAGTTGTAAAATAGTTGAACCTCTACGGCTACTTCCCTACTAGTTTTTTTCGCATACAGATTCATAATTTCTATCGGTATACCACATGTATCGATATATTCACAATACATCATACAAAATATCTTTATCATTTGTTATATATCTATTATCATTATTATTATCGCTATCGATATCGCGATCGTTATCGTTATCGTTATTACTATCATTACCAAATTTTCCGCGTGAAAGACTCACCCTGGTTAGGCAGCAAACAACCCTCAGTGTAATCACTTTTACCTTAGCTGATAAACACCACGTGAAAGATTCGAAAAGGGAAAATTGTTCTCTCTATATATGTCCTACCTCAACAATTCTTATCTTTTATTAAGGTAAAAGAAGGATGGACAGAGCGTTGAGAATGGCTGTTCGCATGTTGAGGGATCACGTAAAACCAGGACCAAGAGCTGTTGTTTTGTTTACATCCGGACCTGACAATGTCACTGCGTCCTATGACATTGACGGAGCTGTAAAGCAGCTTGAAATCGGGGGTGCACGCATCTACGTCGTTGCTATTGGCCCAAATGTTCGCAACTATCAGGTTAGACCTCTCGTAAACAGTTCTGATGATGTCATAAAGATTTCTACATTTCTCAAGCTGTACTCTGAGCTTCACATGGTTGGAAGATATATTGCTCTGACTCAAGGTAAGGATGGAATAGTAAAATCTTTTCCAAAACACATCATTTCTCCATATGGTAAGTAAATGTCAAAAGCAAAAGAAACCTACTCTGTTAATGTATTTAGCACAAATAATAATAATAATGATGATGATGATGATGATGATGATAAGGGACATCTTTTTTAATAAGTCTGTTTAAAACAGTTCGCTCATTTCGCCACAGAAAGTCAAAAATTTTAAGGAATCCCTTACAACATAATGCGCAAAAAAAATTCAATCAATCAAAATAAACAGCAAGCGCGTCTCGACGAAGACGAACTGTTTTGCATCCTCTCAGACTTACAAGTGTAAGAGCCTGGGAATTTAATTTTATATTGCAAGGTATTCGAATTTACCTTCATGTAAATCTCAAATTATGAGTCTGATATGATGGAATCACAACTGAGAAAGACAATAATGCTTCTATTTAAGAAGTAATAAGTATCGCAAAGATAAAAAAACTACAAGCTTGAAATAAAATTGCTAGTTTTTATCTTGTTAAAATAACATATGCAGAAACAGTCACTTTGCATGTTGTTTTTCTCCCCAGATACAAAACGGCCAACAACTTTAACACCTGACAAAACTAAAATGATTGCCGATGTAGTTTTTGTGATGGATTCATCTTCTAACGTGCCATTTTATGACTTCAAAACGGAGAAAGACTTCGTCAAGGACCTCGCCAGGTATCTCAACGTTTCTCCAGGAAATTCTCGGGCAGCGGTTGTGACATATGGTAGTAGGGCAGCCGAGGTGATAGACTTCGACATAAGAAGATCCGTATCAGACTTTGAAACGGCAGTTGATAATTCTCCTTATATAAATGGTCGCAGAAGGATCGACCGTTCCCTGGACAAAATTGTACAGATTATGACCAACGCTAGACCAACAGCCACAAAGTTGGTTGTGTTGCTAACCGCTGATAAGCAATTGTCGGAGTTTGGAACTACAACTCCCGCTCGAGCAGCCAAACCTCTTTGGGAGAAAGGCGTGAATATATTTATTATAGCGATTGGCCGAAGGAATATTCTGGAACTGCGTGAGTTATTACCGGTGAATATCTTCAGGGTTGCAATCTACAATGACTTGAAGCTTCAAACAGCGACAATTGGAAAGATGATTGTGGAAAGATCAAGTAAGAAAAATAATTCTAATCCTTATATTCCTTCATCAGGTCTATCCCTCTCTAGCCTCCCACTCAGGCGTTTTTAGGGGAGCTCGTTTTTTTAAAAAGGAGCTCCCCTAAAAACGCCTGCGTGGGAGTAGCCTGTGAACAGGCCTTTGGTCGAGCGGGGTGGGGAGAGGGAAAAGCGCTTTCCCTTCCCTTTCCTCGCTATTTTTTCCCCCAAACAGAGAGCCTGTTCACAGGCTAGCGTGGGGGCTAATCCCTCTCGTGTCATGATAAAGAAACCTTTCGAAAAAGAAGTTCTTGATGGGTAGAGGGTATCCAGAAGGCAAATGGTTCTAACTTGCGAGGTAGTACTGTATATGACACAAAAAAGCACTTGGGCAATACTACAAACATATTGCATTTTAGCGCAGTTTAGCTCTTACAGTATTTCATACCAATATCTTTTTACTTCTTTTAGCGATGTCAACACCGATAACAGATATTGATGCAGACATAATTTTCATCATTGATTCATCATCTGACGTCACGCCGGAAAATTATGTCCGTGAAAAGTCTTTGGTCAAAGACATGGCCCGCTACCTTAATGTTTCCACTGGAGGGTCACGTGCAGCTTTGATAACTTATGGAAATAAACCTACCTTGGTTTTCAAATTTGGCGATTACGGTTCCTTGCCTTCCTTGGACAACGCTGTTGACAGAGCTCAATTTGTTGGCGGTGGTAGAAGACTGGATTTAGCCTTGGAAGACGCGGGCCTTCTGCTTTCTGAGGCGAGCCCTTTCAAGGCCAAGTGGGTGATTTTGTTAACTTCAGGAGCACATTCTACAGCCCCGGATGTAAAATCCATGCTAGACGCTTCGAAGACTGTGAGAGACAAAAGCGATAGAGTCTATATCGTTGCTATTGGTAACAGAGTTAATATTAAGGAGCTCGAGGAAGCAGTTATGGATCCTAATGACATATTTCCGGTTCTCTCGTTTCAAAGTCTTAGGCCGCAGACCAGGTTGATCGCCTACACAGTAGTGAAACGACACGGTAAATAGATACCTTCTCTCTGTCATAATGTACTAAAGGGACACCCACATGGAAGCAATAACACTTTTACCATACAAAGGGCACAAAAGTCTATTAGTGCAGTTTTAATCCTTATTCTGTAAACCCGTTAATAAGACTACGCCGTTATAGTGGCCATCGACCTCAAAGTCCCCAGTTGTTATTAATATTCTTAACAAGTTTGCCATGCTCGTGGGACCAGTTGAATGCCGGAAAGTTAGATGCAATTAGAGGTTAATTATAATACAATAGATTAAGTATTGTTAAATCACTTGGTCATGTATGGCTACCTGATGCAAATGTCTTTGGACTTACGTTTTGTCTTTGTGTACCGCTAATTTCAGCCATGTGACTTATGGTATCCTTACAACCATTAAGAGGCAAAAAAGAAAGATAGAGAGTATCGTTAAAGAAAACTTGACATCTATTATTTTGGCTCATTCCCACTGATTATGTCTTTTTCTTCCAAGATTCTTCCTCTAAACTTCGTGTGATAGAAACCTTCCTCGGTGACATCGTCTTCCTAGTGGACACATCATCTCAGATGGGAACCTCAAGTTTTCAAAGCCAAAAGCAGTTCGTTAAATTGGTGGCAAAATCCCTTAACGTCGGCCCAGAAAGGTCTAGAGCAGCCATTATAACATATGGTAATACTTCGACACAGCTAGATGATTCTGACTTGTTCTCAAGTTTACCTGAATTTTACCGCGCAGTAGATGGTTCTAGGTTCATCGGAGGGCCACGAAGGATGAACTACGCAGTTGATGGTGCAGAAAAATTATTGAAAACTGCAAATCGAAATGTTTATAAGTTAGTCGTGTTACTAACAGCTGGAAAACAGTTTTATCAACAAGATATTATTCTGCTAGAACAGTCATTCAAGAAACTTCGAGAAACAGGAACCAAAACTTTCGTCGTCGCCATTGGTAGTGATTACGATAACACTGAATTACTTGCTGGTGTAGAAACAGCAGAAGACATATTTTCCGTAGTATCCTTTGATGGCCTGGCACGGCAAGCTTGGGAAACGTCCAAAGAAATTGCTGAACGAACAGGTGAGTTTTGTCATGAGTGAATGGAAGAAAAAAGAACGACAACTAAGATTGTAAAAACTCTTCTTTTTTAAAAATGCGAGATTTATCATTATTATATACATACTGAGACATGCTCACCAAAAATATTTGTTGTAAATTTTGATACACAAATGAGTTCTAGCCAATCAGAGGAGTGAACGAGGGTTTTCACACGTGAAAAAAATGAAACGCCCAATCAGAATCGCGAACGATGTTTTTTCACATGTGAGAAAAATGATACGTCCAATCAGAAGCCACAGAGGTGTGTGAGTTTCGCGCCAAAATTCCCGCCTCTTCTTGCTGCTTGCTGAGCGCCGCTTCGCACACAATCGAGGAGAAAAGTTTTTCTCAAAGAGTTTTTTCTCGTTAAAAAAGTGAAAACATTTCAGAAATGGAGTGGAATAGTTTCGTTTGTTTCACTGTCGAAAACTGTCTAAAACTGTGGAGAGCCGGCGAAACAACAGCGTAAGGGGAAAAACAGAACAAGACGTAAGCTTATGTTGTGCTTTTTGTCGGAGCTACTTTGTCTTTCATTTATGAGCTTAAGCCTATACTGAAACCGGCCATTGTACTTAAATTCACTCATTTTCAATTGTACATTCAGAACAAACAGTTAAAATTACTTGTAGTTCTTGGATTACCTCATATCCTTACCGTCATTTATGTTTTTAAGAAACGTTTCTACTAAAAGGCTGATACTTCGTTTTCATTTCGTGGTGCGTAGCGGCAAATTTAAGCATTTTGGAAAGATTTAAAATAAAAAGGCCACCAAAATGATGAATGTCTCAGTATGTATACAATAAACACAATACCACATGTGAAGTGGTTCGTACAGTATTTATCCACTCGTTGTTTTTGTATCAGAAAACTCACTCCTTCGCTGCTCTCACTCGTTCGATTTCTGATACGTCAACAACTCGTGTGTAAATACCGTACGCCAGCACCTTCCATGAAGTATTCTCTATATTCTTCTCCCTCTTTTCTTTATGACATTAGTGATTACCTGCGTAGTAAGACCATTCCGTGTGCTATTCTTTTACTACGATAATCAGATGGCACTCTGATTTGGTAATCAGGTTATAACATTAAATCTTGTTGTTCTTTCGGACAGCCTAATCCGTTTTCAGTGGCAACGTGGTTGACTTTGATGTTAGTAATAATAATAATAATAAATACTCAATTATCATCTCTGTTTTCAGAGACAACGAAACAACTAATTTGAATGTAACTTAACAAGGATATGAATCACAACTTGTCATTGGAGGCGAACCAGTTGGCTCTTTTAAAAGCATGGCCGCGGATTTGTACTCGGGGCTACCGAGACCGAATCCAGTGAGCGGTCAGGGCGGGACTTGATCTCGGGGCCTTCGGACTTCAAGTCCAGCTCTCCAACCGCTTGGCCAGGCTGCCCCCTAACTTTTGACACCAATAGCAGCATAGGACACCAAATTTAGAGTTTATCCGCTGTAGATTTTAATGCTAAGGCCTGTTTGCCAAAATTTCGGCCTCCTCTTACTAAGCTCGGATAACCATAGGAAAGATTAGCACTTGCTGAATTACAAAAACAGATAAAAGGAAATGAGTCATGTGTTTCATTTTATTTTCCTTAAGATTTTAGTGCTTTTCTGGATTCACAACAATTTGACGCATTAGATAATTTATTTTTGTATTTCGTTGTCTTGGAACAATGCATCTGTGCATGCATATCATCCGCATGACAACCTGAAATATATGTCACATTCTAGTATACTGTTTCACTTATTAGGTGGCTTCCAAGCTGATGTTCTTTTCATCATGGACTCATCCAGAGATGTTTCAAGAGCTGACTACAAGAAGCAGAAAGACTTTGTGGTATCCTTGGTGAAATACTTGCGGCTATCCCCAGATGAAACACGAGCTGCCCTGCTGACATACGGATACACAGCCACACTTGTTGCCAACTACGACAGCTATGATAATACTTCACTTTTTGCAAATGCCGTGAAAAGAGCATCGTACATTGGCGGTAAGGCTCATAATAACTTGTGATTGGGAAATCAGTCTCCTAGACGGAGGCGGTAATCAATAACAAGAGAATACTTGACCCACCTCAGGCGCCACCCTTAAATCAATCAACAATCAATCGGTAAACAATAGCAAGACAAATACTTTGGATGACTCATCTTAGGCACTGCTCTTAAATTCTGAAAATAGCCCTCTCCGAAGAAGGCGCTAAGCAACCAACAACCAACTCCAGAACTTTAATGTCATCTTTTTTTTCTGTTTGATCAATATGTGAAACCTCATTGGTCTACGAATCGGCTATGCAATCCAATGGTCCGAGTTCGACTCTCACTGAGCTGTTTTTTTTTCTCTGTGTTTGATTTTGTTTGTTTGTTTGTTTGTTGTGTGTGTGTGTGTGTGTTTAGTCATATTTTCCCTTTGGTTTATTTTCCCTCTATTCTTACTGCTGACGTTTAAAGGTTCACAAGGTTTTGCGATAAACGAATTTCTAGTGATAGCTCAAGCCGTACAGAGTATCACAACATCGTGAATGCTACAGTAGAAATTTTATAACATTGTTTGAAAAGGGAAATGATTTATCTTTTTCTTGTTTGTGAATAAAAGGTTCAAGACGCATTGATAAGGCCCTCTACTACGCTACACAGTTGATGACCGGAGCCAGGAAGTTACTTCCCAAAATTGTAGTACTACTAACAGCTGGGCGACAAGAACTTGGCTATACCTTGGATGAAGAAGCTAAAAGTTTGCAAGACCTGGGTGCCACTACCTATATAGTGGCAATAAGCAATAAGCCAAATGTTAACGAGCTTTTGCCCATTGTGAAGGATGAAACATTTGTATTTAGAGTACCCTCTTTCGATGAGCTCCAACAAAGTGTGTTATCTGTTGCCCGCGAGCTGGTTAAGCAGCCAGGTGAGAAAAAATAAGTAAAATATGCTATGTCAGTAAGTCAAAAGTGGGCGCAAGCACTCAGTAACACAATAAAATTAACACAGGATATACAGTTTCACTGTGTTATGACAAAACTATCCCTAGGGTCTGTAACTATAACGTACGGGGTTCTTGGCTCCGTAGAGGTTCAGTGACGCGTTATTGGATTCCCGCTGCGCAGAGTGAGTGCAGGCGCGAAAACCGAAAGATTCTTCAGCGCGGGACCTCGCTCCCTTCATTACCAAACAATTTTCGCGACTCACTCACTCGTGCCATACCCCTCTGAGCCTCTGTGGAGGAGAGGAGTTGCAGTAGGCGTGATCGGCTTCTGTCAATCAGTTGGCGAGGGGATATCCCAACATGGCAAGAAAATGTTGGACGCTTACTTAAGCACCTCAAAACAGAGCGTTTCTGTGGTTGCTTTTTTTCACTTGTAACGTAGTCTCTGGGCGAGTGAGAGTTATGAAGGAGATCAAACCAAAGAGCTATTAAAGGTGGTCGCTAAATATTGTTTTTTAGTATATACTAAAACAGTGGATAGTGTTTTTCGCGCGCTCTGATTGGCTACTCAATAAGTGAATATCCTGCACTATTCACTGATTCACCTCCAGTTCCTCCGAGCGAGCGACGCCAAACTCGCGTAGGTTGCGAGCAAAATGCTTTCCCACTACTAGCCACCTCCACTTCGGTGAATAATTGTTTTTTATCCCTGCATAAAATTTGCATGAACATTTGACCTTAAATATCATTGGCTTCACATAGAAACGAATTTCCACTTGCAACTACCTCTTACAAGGAGTTATCAGTCACAACGCCTCGTAAGCGACTAGATCCCGGAGGTAATAACCGAGACATTGAATTCAGTCTTGGGTGATCGCATACGGGAGGATTAATTGAATATCATTTATTTTCATAGATCCAGAACTACCACCTAACTTCCGAGGAGCTGATATCCTTTTCATGGTGGATTCCTCTTCTGGTGTATCACCTTACGACTTCGACAAAGAAAAAGAACTTATAAAAGATTTGATTAAGGCTTTTAGTTCACATCCAGCAAGTTCCCGAACAGCTTTTATAACATACGGAAACAGACCGCGTGTCGTTTACGATCTTGATAATGATATGAGTGAAGAAACTTTGTTAAAAGCAATCGACGCGGCTCAGAGGATGGGGGGAGGAAGGAGAACTGATCGTGCCCTTGATGAGGCTTTACAACTCATGAATATCTCTAGACGTTTTGTTCCTAGAATTGTACTTCTTATCACTGCAGGCTCACAGATTTTGGTAAGAATCCTACAAAACGTTTTGTGTGATTGAATGTAAGATTGAATGTACATACGTAAGCCGATAGCTCACGAAATTTCTCCTTTAGTGAATTGGCGTTTGCTGATCCATAAAAAGATGACAAGTGCTGCCAATGTATACTTTCACCGTTTCACATAAAACGATTGGTTCTATTCTTCTTCGATTCTTTGCTTGTTTCGTCAGATTTATGTGTCATCTCATCCCTTTTCTGTGATAGGAAGAGGGAACCCAGCCACTTTCTGGCAGAGTCCTGCGAGAGATCGGAGCTAATACATTTGTGGTCGCGATTGGTCCAAAAGTAAGCAAGCAGGAACTTGAACCCGTGGTTAAAGATTCACAAGACTTATTTACGGTGAAGACATTCGAGGGTTTACCGTCAATTGTTGGAAGACTGGCATTTTTCATTGTCAATAGGACCGTGGGTGATATAGGTAACTTCTAACTTCACTTCTATTTCCTTCTGTTGGTTATCCTGATCGAATTAAAAAAACTAAGTTGCAAAGTTATGCAATAATTTATATTCCAGACATGCCCTTACCATAATGTTTCGCGCTATTTAATTCAAGCTGAAAGTTACTCTTTTAATGTAAGAACGACGTCCCAATCGTAACATTCATCATAGCACTAGTGTTTCGATGCCTCCTACCCTAAAAATAAAATCGTGTGATCAAATTTGCATTTTATTGTTCTCTTTCTTTTGCCATTA